TGGCCCAAACTGGGTGGCGGCAGCAGTGGGATAACGTGGGGTGGGTTTCCCCTGGGAAAGGGCAGCGGGAAGCTGGGAATGAGCGAGCAGCCGGAGCTGAGCCGCACTGACCTCTGCCGGCTGCTCCCACGCCGAGCCGGGGCCGTTGCAATTGCCCAAATGCAGGAAAATGTAGGAAAACCGGGGACGCGTTTGGGTCACAGCGCCGGGCGTCGGGGCAGGGGACACCCCAGCGCCCGTTACTACCTCTCCGTGTGCCCGTTAGGAACGAGGACCGGGAGCGAGCGTGGAGGGCGTCCCGGGAGACCAAACTGGAGCCCATCCCAAACTGTGAAGCCTGGTGAGTGCAGGGGAAGGGACACCGGGAGCTCGTGCCGGGGGGTGGCGGCACGAAGGAGGCGGCAGGACGGGACACGGAGCAGCGCAGCAGCCCCGGCGCGGCGCCGCCTCCCGTTGCGCGGCGCAGCAGAGCACCCTGCAGCGCCGGGACGCTCGAGGAGGCTGCAAAACAGAGCAGGACACCCCGTTAATTACCCCGGATAATTCCCGCTCGGTTTGCACCGCGCTGACGCTGTCCCCGGCGCCCGCAGCGCCAGGCCCACGGCCGAGGAGGTGCGGGGCTGGGCACAGTCCTTCGACAAGCTGATGAAGAGCCCGGCGGGTCGCAACGTCTTCCGGGAGTTCTTGCGGACTGAGTACAGCGAGGAGAACATGCTCTTCTGGCTGGCCTGCGAGGAGCTCAAGGGCGAGTGCAACAAGCACAGCATCGACGAGAAGGCCCGCACCATCTACGAGGACTACATCTCCATCCTGTCGCCCAAAGAGGTAGGGCCGGGAGCACCGCAGGGTGGGAGCATCCCAAGGAGATTATCCCAAGGTGGGAGCATCGCATGGATGGGAGCACCCACAAATGGAAACATCCTAAGGATGGGAGTGCCCTAAGCACCTGGGGATGGGAATATCCCTAGGATGGGAACACCTCAGGGTGGGAGCATCCCAAGGAGGAGAGTATACCAAGGTGGAAACATCCCACGGATGGGCACAGCCACAGATGGAAACATCCCAAGGATGGGAGCGTCCTAAGCACCTCGGGATGGGAATATCCCTAGGATGGGAGCACCTCAGGGTGGGAGTATCCCAAGGGGGAGAGTATCCTGAGGTGGGAGCATCCGCGGAGGGGAACACCAACGGATGGAAATCACCCACGGATGGGAGCATCCCAAGTACCCAGGGATGGGAATATCACTAGGATGGGAGCAGCGCAGGAGGGGAGCATCCCAATGGTGGGAGCATTCCAAGATGGGAGCACCCCAGGATAGGAACATCCCAAGGTGGGAGCACTTCGGGATACGAACATCCCTAGGATGGGAGCACCCTGGGAGTGGAGCATCCCAAGGAGGGGAGCATCCCAAGATGAGAGCACCCCTGATAGGAGAATCCCAGGATGAGAGCATTCCAAGATGGGAGCATCCCAAAGCAGGCACATCCCTAGGATAGGAGCACCCTAAGGAGGAGAGCATCCCAAGATGAGAGCACCCGATAGGAGCTCCGCAGGGCGGGTGCACCCCAGGGTGGGAGCATTCCAAGATGGGAGCACCCCAAAGCAGGCACATCCCAAAGCTGGGAGCACCCCAAGGCGCATCCCAGGGTGGGAGCATCCAAAAGCAGGCACATCCCAAGGATGGGAGCACCCCAAAGCAGGCACATCCCAAGGTTGGGTGCATCTAAAAGCAGGCACATCCCAGGCTGGGAGCACCCCAAGGCAGGCACATCCCAAGCACGAGAGCACCTCAAAGCAGGCACATCCCAGGGTGGGCACATCTAAAAGCAGGAAAATGTAGGAAAACCGGGGACGTGTTTGGGTCACAGCGCCGGGCGTCGGGGCAGGGGACATCCCAGGGTGGGCACATCCAAAAGCAGGCACATCCCAGGCTGGGAGCACCCCAAGGCAGGCACATCCCAGGATGGGAGCATCCCAAAGCAGGCACATCCCAGGGCGGGAGCATCCCAAGGATGGGAGCACCCCAAAGCAGGCACATCCCAGGGTGGGC